AACGCTCTTGCGCGCTCTCTCTCTCTCTCTCTCTCTCTTTTGTCGCTCTCACTCACTGCGTCTCTTTTGTTCTTTGAGTAGCATTGCCAGATGGTGGTTGAGTGAACTTGGTTCACTTTTTCGTGCTGCCAGACAATAACAAAGCAGATCATTATTGCCACCCTGTTAAGATCTTTGTTATTCTAAACGATGTGGCAAGACTAAAACGGTTTCAGCAATGTTATTCACATTAACATGCTAATTTATTTGTTATTTAGCATATGAATATGTACAGAGAGCAAAAACAAAAGATCAATCGATATACATAGTTTCTTATATTATCGATAATGATAATATAACGTATATTTGAAAGCAATGCAGCTGCTGCTTAGCCCTGCTAATGTCGTTTTGATAGATATTTGACTTTTACGAACCCATATTTGGCAGTAAACCTAAAACGTTTTGACTATGCGGCTCACGCGCCCAATTGGCACGTTTTAAGTGTGGCCTCCAGTGCATCTTTCGTTGTTATTTTTCTTCGTTTTATGCGGTTTTTCTTCAACTTGGTCTTTTTGTGCTATTTCGTGGTGAGCGCACAGACACACACACATAAATGGTAGCGCACAGGCCTATTGTGTATGTTTTCTTCTTTTTTTTTTATCATGCCCGAAGTGTGTGTACATTGTTTGGCCGCATTTTGTTACGCCGGGCAACATGTGCAAAAGTCAATTTGAAAATTGCGGCACAGCCAGCCGCAGCAATGTCGAGTTCCGCCTCCAACCCGCCCCACTACTAAACATGCTGCTGCTGCTGCTACTCTTACTGGTGCTCGTAGTACCAACTGGTACTTTGCGGTCCACTTTTCATTGACGCCGCCGACGCACATAAACAACGTGCTACGACGACTCCGGCCGGAACCCCTCTAAAAACCCTGGCCCGGGCCCGACCCCCTTCCATTGGCAAGTTGTTTATATTGTTTTTAATAACATTTAACGCTGTGGCAACATGTGCGCGGTGCACTGCATAAATTACTCCAAATGCCTATGCGGCATTATAAGTCAAATGCTTTCAACTTAAATTAAAAATAAACAACAATATCAAATCACTTCCATTTTTTGTATATATAAATTAAATTCTTTATATTTAAGTTAAAATTAGTTGAATGTCCTAAACCGTGTGCCATGACCTTTAAAATATAATACTTATACAGTTAAATTGTTGCAGTTTGAGATGCACTTTAATCAATTTTATTTAAAAGCTAAAGGTATCGATGAATTTAAACGCACCTGTTTGCTAACATTACAGGCTCTTAACAGGATCTGAAATCAAAACGATCATATTTGCAATTTAACAGAGAAGCGTTAAATTCAAATGACTATTGACATTTTTTATGAGTTCTGTGTATTCAGTAAATTTAAAGAAAGAAACCTGATTTCACACATAATTATATAATACAATGCGAATACCTGTACCTAACTAACTTAAGCTATAATTAATTGGCACAGACATCTGTTCTTCTTTTCGTGCAATCTAAACAAAATATATCTAATATAAAGCAATAATTAATTAACTTATAAAGCAAACAGCTTCATCAACGTTATTAGCTTTTCAGTTTACCTGACCCAAGCAAGAAGATAATCAGATGTGAAAACACTGTCGCCTAATATCTTGGCCATTGTTATCATAAAGTTAAATTAAGTTTTTGGGGTTTCGTGTTCGTGATTCGCTCATTTTTCTAAGCTATAAACGCATTGTGTGCGCGGCGTCTTTGCGCCGGTGAAGTGAAATAAAGGCACGGGAAATGAAATATTTGCGAACAAATAGACACACTTATTACATTTTCGTCCTGGACGCCACAGATGCTGATGCCGATGCTGGGCTCCTCCTTCCCCTTCGTTGTTAATGTTGTTGTTGAATGCTTTTGGCGCGTGTTCGCTGCTCTGGCAATGTCTTCTTCATGTTGTCTGTTTTGTCCCTTTTTATTGTTGTTGTGCCTCTAACTGACATGCCGCAATTTTTCTTCATTTTTTGTTTTCGCCTGTGCACGGTGAAGTCGGCGGCTAGCGCCCCCACCAAAAGGTCTCGGAGATGGATGGGTTACTTTCCTAATAATTTCGCAGTTAGTTTTAATGCGCTACGTAAAACTATAAGGAGTTTGACTAAACTAAAATAGTGGAGGATTGCTTGGGTTAGTTAAAGGTTGATATATCTATTTCTAAAATAACTCACTGATTAAATATATTATTTCGTACAGTTCTTGCCTGAAATTCATTTTGTAGCTCATCTAGAAGTCCTTACGATCGAACCACACACAGCATTCTTGTCCTGTTCTCATGTTCTGCGCAGCCATGCTAACATGTTCATAATCATTTTTCTTGTTTCCACAACGCCGCAGCCAAAGAAAAACATGCAATTTGCTCAGAAGTAGACTCGAAAAACATGTTGAGAGTGGACCGAAAACAAAAAATATTTGCATATACCTGGGAACAAGTTTAATTAGTTAAGCGAAATCCTCTTACCGTTAGGCCAGACGCATAAACCTTTGGGCGTCTCAAGTGCTTGACGAGAATCAGACTCCACTGGGAGGTATTGGTTGCAGTTAACGCCTACCGGATAATTCTCCAGACATTGTCTGACTGCCACAACTTCAAATATAAAGTTGAAGCAGAGCCGCCAAAGGGGACCTTGGAGCAGGGCGTCGAGGTATTTTTGGAGGCAAGCAACTAACAGTAGTCAAAATAATGTTTCAAGGCCGCCCATGCCCCACACAAAGGGAGAAATTTAAACGGCAATTTGGTGCCGTGTTTACCAACCCCAAGGACAAAGGACAACGTACAAGCGAACGACAGCAGCAGCATCCAAAACTGTGGCTTCTGCTGTTTTCTTTTTGTGCGCCCTTACTTTGATGAGTGGGGGGGCTGGGGACGCTACCGCAGGGGCAGCAACTGCTTACGTGCCTGGCGAGCATCACACAACGAGACCTTATCCTCCCGTTCAATGGGGCTGTTGTTATTCTTGGTTATGCCTGCCGGGCGGTGGAGGGCTCAGGGTCTTGCCGACATTCGCCAAACCTTCCTACTGGGCACGTCATTTTTGGCTGCTTTGGGCTGAGTCGTTTGTTTTCTTTTTTCCTTCGCTATTGGCGCCCAAATCCTCAAAAAAAAAAGAAAGAAAGAACGAAGAGAAGAAGAAGATAGAAGCACCAACGCATAGCCCCCCTTAACATAAACTGTGTTTAACTTTTTCGTGAACGCCCAAATATCTTTAGCCTGCCTTAGGTTATGCTTTTTGCTTCTCTGTTCTTGCTCTAAGCCGGCGCTGCTACCACTGCGTCCTAGTTATTTCTGTTTGGGTTCTTCATGACCTTTAGCATATTGACTAGTGAGGTTTTTGGTGTCCATTTTGCTTTTGGCTTATAACTTGCGGCGCATACTTTATGCACAACGCACTTACACTTTGTGCCTTCTTCTTTATATATGTATGTATATATATTGTATACATATACATATACCGTTTCATTCGTTTTACTGCTGCACTTCATTTTATTGTGGTGCTAAGCTGCGCTTGGGGAATTGAAATGCGTATATCCTTGGGGCTTATGGCGACAGACAGTTCATCAAATGAAGCTTTTAAGTGGCCCTCCATCCATCTCATAATTTAATATTTGATGCAGCTTTAGCACTGAGACTTTAAGCAGCGACGTTTTAAGTAGAGAAAATGCTGCCGGACTGATGGAAATTAGTTATGAGCAGTAACCGTCTTATCGCAACTATCGATTGCTCTGTACGCAAAAACAAAGCAGATCAATGTTAAGTAAATCATCGAGTAAGTTGTGCGGTCTCAGATAATTTAAATGCAGGCAGACTCATTGTTTGGAAAAATCAAAGAAGATCAATGCTAAGTAGAAAGTATGACATGACAGATTAGTTTAATTAGGTAAATTACATGGGCAGTCGCTGCTCCATCACACTCATCGATTCTCTTGGCACACAGAAACATCGATCGTTACATATGTATGCATGTACCATCGATATATCAGCAAATGAAGCTGATTTACCGCAATTAAACAAAAGTCAATTGAAAATTACATAAAGTCTTAAGCTTGCTAAGCTGCTTCCACAACTGAGCAGCTTTACAGAGTCAAAGTGGGGTTTTGCCATATGGTTGAACTACCCTTAGGGCCCCGTCCCCCGCCCCCACACGCCCACTGCCTACACACAAATGACAATGAGTTTCCATTTTGTCTGCTCGTCCTGTGCCCTGTGTGCATCATCAATTTAATTTCGTAAGCTTACAAAGCGTTGCATAAAAAATGAACGTCCGTTCATGTGGGTGTGAAAACGCTCCTGGTTTTTCCGGTACCACACCCCAGCCGGCAAGCTTCTGAATTTCCACCCACACAAAAGGGTGTGAATCGAAGCGTGCGCCATTTTCGTGTGTTTTTTAAAGCCACGCAGCATGCGGCTAATCTTCAAAATCGTGTAGCACGTCTCTAAACGCTTGCCGCATCAACAGTTTCCTCTGTAGTTCTCCCGGTGGCTGGCTTGCTGACTCACCTCTATGTGGGGGGAGGTGGGACATTGGGCATTTCCCCACACATTGTAGAACAGGGCAATTGCAATAAAAATTGTGTTGCCTACTTTTAAGGGTTGGACGCAGGTTGCACATTTCCGGTGGCAGCAGTTTTTAGTAGCTTTTAACAAAACGTTGCGACATTCCAACATAAAAATTTCATTAATGTAAATGCCGGTCCCCCCACCCCAGCCACTACTAAGAGTGCCTGGAGATGGGAGGCATTGCATAGTCCCAAAGGTACATCGGAATTGATTTGGCAATTCGGATTGCTTTTGTCTTTTTGCTGCCAGTTCCGGCAGCGAGCTGAGAGTTAAATAAAACTGGAAGTAGGGGAAGCAACTGGCCTTCCATTTACAGATATCCATCTCTATATATCATTCCACTTCAGGGCATTAGCAGGTCAGCTGGATTATGTTTATTTCATTTCTTTCTTCTTCTTTTTTCAGATCGAGCCAATCATGGCGATGCCACCATTGAAGTCTGCCGCCATTGCCCGCCTGAGTACGAAGCCGAATCTCTGCCCTCCTACACCATTGTCTCTGGCTTGCCCACCTACGATGATGCACTCGAGGAGTTCCGTAAAGCGGGTATCATACTAACTCCCTCCTTTGTGCCCGTCATCAAGATCTTCGAAAGCGCCAGCAATGAAGCCGGTGGGGCCAAGGAGCCAGCCGTTTCCTATAGCTTGGTGGAGACTACGGCTAGCGATGTCAATGCAGATAACATTTCAATTACCTCCATCACCTGCAATTGTGGCGGCTCCTCGCCCACTGGCTCGCTGCCCAGCTACAGTGCCGCCACGGCAGCTGCCATGGTGGCGGCCAGCGCCAGTGGCTCGCAGCTCAGCTCGCAGGTAATTGAGCTGTCGCCGGAGCATTTGGCCTCGCTCTCCGAGAAACGCCTCTCGTTGCAGATCTCATTCAACAACTCGCTACGCCGCCGCTCCCGCTCCACGTTGCGCAATCACTTGCTGCGCTCCCGCGCTGTGGGGAACACCGCCGGCCTCGGCCCCATTGAGACAACGATGCCCAATGTCACGATCGCCACTGGCACCGAGGTGCTGCCGCCCATACATCGAACCTCCTCCTCGGTGTCGCTGTCCAGTGAACGCCAGCTGCTGGATCAGCGCTTGAGGCATTTGCATCATCGTGGCTCCTTGTACTAAGGAGCAGCTCCGAATGCCAAACGCTCAAATTTCAATTACTTAATTTTTAGTTATAAGCGACAACAACTGATATATGGAATAATAAAGTGTTTATACAAATGTTGTAATCAAATGTGCCCATGATTATACTCATTCACGAAAGTGAATCAGTATATTGGTTTTGTGCAATGTCCGTCTTGCTGTCCGTCCGTCTGTCCGTCTGTCCGTCCGTCCGTCTGTCCGTCTGTCCGTATGAACGCAATCTATTTCGGCGCTATTGAAGCTAGAGACTTGAAATTTGGAACACATACTCGTGTATATCTCCGATTTATAAAGTGTTAAAATTTTCCCGATCNAAAACTGACCAAAAATGAGGTGTCTACGCCCAGTTGGGGCGTGGCAAATCGGAAAAACCTGTATATTCTACAGTATTAGAACGAAACTTAACTACTAAATTGTTGATGGGATGTGAATGAGTATTCCGCAGTCGGTAACGCCCGACTGCAACGTTCTTACTTGTTTTCTTTTGGGAATTCACTGAATGGGATTTAATTAGTGGAAGCCTAAATTGTTCGAGTCTACACTTGAGTTAAGGAATTTTAAATAACTTAAGAATGAGTAAAATCATCAAGAGGTTGAAGCTTGAACAGCTTTAAAATATGAAACCTTTAGTGATCTGATTTATTTATGCTTTAATATTCATAGTAATATAGAAAGCGAATTTGAACTGTAGTACATTGGGAATTGAAATAGATAAATAATGGTATTTCAAGAATACATATTATATAGATAGCTGACATGGGATAAGGGGATAGGACTGCCAACATTTTTTTAATCTTATATGTCTAGAACTTCATTTTAGACTATTCTCTTATTTTAACTACCAATCCTCCCTAGCTAAACCAGAAATATATAGGGTACAAATCAAAAGTCGAAATGCTAAGAAATAGGTATATCCAAAAACTGCAATTTGCTTTCCTCTCTTACAGCTTGCCGTGGTTAGCTTTCAGATTGAACACATATCAAACTGACACGGCTCTAGGCGTAAAAAGAAAAAATGAAACATTGCACATGTATCTGACACCGCATAGGGGGGAATAGAACTGCCAGCTATCCATATAACAGAACGAAACTCTGGCTTGGCGCATGCCATGGCAACGATTTCGGTTTGTTTATGAAGCGCCGAGGGCTTTGGTGTCTTTTCGCAATAGTTTTCTGTGAACGATGAGCGGCACCACACGCAGCGGGCTGGTGCCTACGCCGAAGCGGCATATCAAATATGTGAGAAAGGTAAAGGAACAGGCGTCTGCTAGAATATGCTGTGTAGATGTTCGTCTAACGTGAGCGTATGCATCCACAGAGGAAAAATCACCATGCCGACGATTCGCGGATGCCGTTGAAATTCGAGGCACAGCCGATGCCACTATCGCTGCGTCCGTTTGGTGGACTATTCAATCCATTCGCCAAGGGCTGTTCCGTGCTCTGCAACCATCCAGCGCCGCCGGCCGTGAAGGATGTCATCAACCAGCTGAAAACATCGCTGGCCATTGAGGGCAAGTGTGTGACGCACGCGGCCAAGGAGAAGCCACTGGAGCAGCAGTTACAGCCGCACGAAGCGGACAATATACCCGAGGATTTGTTTCGGCGCTATGCTGAAACCGATTCCCGGCCCATGACACCGACTCCAACAGTGACCAGCATCCATACGCGCACCAGTGCCGGCTCTTTCTATCGGCGCTGCATCACGCCGGAGTGGGGCAAGCACGAGAACATTCAGCGCAAGAAGATCATATTGGATCTGCGACGGACACACTCGCAGGAGACGCTCTACTGGAAGCCCAGCTCGGAGCTGACACAAAGCGGCATCGAGGAGGGCAAGAAGCCAAAGAGCGCGGGCGCCAACGAGGACAAGAAGCCACGCCACCAGCAGTCCAATGAGCAAAGACCTAAATCTTCGCTAGCCACGGCGAACCTCTCACCTGGAGATGATCAGCATGCGGAGCTGGAACCGAAGCCACACAAGATTTGCATCAATGAGCACGACATGAGCGACGACGACGCGCGACGGGGCAAGAAGCGTAAAAGGCTAAAGCCAACGCCGGGTGCGTAAATCACATAGATAACCAGGAACTACATTCAGGAAACTGGCTCTAATTTCAGATAGGAACTTCAAATTTCATAAAGCTTTTGCTGTCCCATATTTCTAATCCTAAATACATAAATTATTATTCAACTCTTATTCATACTCTTAGCCACCACAACATTTCACCTAAGCGAGGATCCAGAGACTCAGGTGGCTGCATTGGGACCCGATTCACTGAATGCCAGCACCAGACCCAGCTTAATACCCAACGCGACTGGCCTACTGCCCAAGGATCGACGCGAGGTGGAGCGGGAGCCCATTTTGCTCAAAGGCAGCTTCCTAACCGATGAGGCCTTTCAGGCACTTAAAACGGATCTAACAGTAGATCTAATAGAGAACACCTTTGGCAGATATGTATGTTAATATAGGTTGAGAATCCCAGCTCCTTTTTAATAACTTTTGCTGCAGCTAAACCGTGCACTGCGCGAGGCCATTAAATACATACCCAAACCAGTGCACAAGACGGTTGAAGAAGTAGACAAAACAACTGTTGGTACGAATTCCAAAATGCCACGAAAATTCTCCAAGTCCGCGACACGTTTCGATGTACCCATGGACTTAGCCATGCTAAAGAGTTTGTACCTAATAGAGCATTGATGGAATATAAATTTTAATGTAATATTCAATTCTTGCAGACATGACTCCATGGGACTACCTCAGCAAGTATGTTTGGGTCTCGCAGCAACGCAAACAGCTCTATAAACGCGTTTTCCTCAAATATTTAAACCGTTGCGAAGAACCGGAAGCGGAAACGGATGATGCGACTCTCATTGAGTACAAAGAGCGCACAATGGTCTGGCGTAGTCTGCCGCAGGCCCTGGAGGATGTATTAGAGTTTCATGGCAATGAGAAAAATGTACAAAATACACTTAATCATTTGGACTATAAGGAGGATGGCAACGGAATTTTGGATTTTCGCGCCTGGTGCGGCATTGTGTCCTTTGCTGAGCGTTTGACACTATCGGATCCTGCCTGCAGTGATGATGATTCATGCGATGAATTGGAAAAGGCCGACTTCAATAGCATGGAGCAGATAATTGACCAGTTTGAAGTGCCCGATAAGCTACAGAAAATATTTAATATAATTCGTATCACACACAAAATAAAGCATTAACTTTTGAAATTTTCGCACCAACTTAAACGATATGTTTCCATTTAGATTTGCGATAGCTTTTTGGCATAATTGCCATTCACCAAATTCGACCACACAATCAGCTGTTGCTGCAAACTTATCGATACTTTTGTATACTTCGGATTGAGTGCTTTTGATAAATTTTCTATAATTAAATTAGAAAAATATAAATTAAAAAACAATCATGGCCACATTAGAGGACAAGTTATTAGGTGAAAAGCTAGAGTACTACTGCAGTAGCAGCGAAGGCGAAGACAATGGCGACGACGGCGACGGCGACTGCGACGACGAACAGGGTGCTCGCGGTAGCAAAGGGTCTGCTAGCTCCGGATTGACAATCAACACGGATCCTAATGCAGCACCACCGGGCGGTTTTCGCCAGCAAGGCTCGACCAATACCGGACCCAAGGGAGTTGTGCAGGACTGGCAGCGTTTCAAGCAACTCGAAGCCGAGCGCCGTGAAGAAACCGAACGCCAGCGCTTGGCTTTGGCTAAAAAGCTCAGCATGACGACTACAACATCTGCCGAGGACGAGGAACGCAAACGCCAAGAGGAACTGGACGCAGAATTTGCAGAATTGATGAGCGAAGATTTTCTGCAGCAATATCAAAAGCAGCGCATGGCCGAAATGCTGCGCCAAACAGGCCACCATCAGCAGTTCGGCAAGGTGCTGCAGCTCAGCACCCACGAGGAGTTTCTCTCCTGTGTGGAAGAGGAGAATAAGCACACGACCATTATAATACACATATACGAGCGCAGTCAATCGGCCTGCGCCACGCTCAACAGCTGCTTAGACACGCTAGCCAGCGACTATCCTTCCATAAAGTTTGCCAAGATCTGCAGCTCTGTGGCGGGCATGAGTCGTGACTTTCGCACCAAGGGCCTCCCCGCTCTATTAGTGTACAAGGCACAGGCGCTAATTGGCAACTTTGTGCGGCTGACCGACGATCTGAGCGACGACTTCTTCGCCTCCGATGTGGAGAGTTTCCTCATCGAGCATGGCATCATAGTCGATAGAGCCTTGTACAATTAAGTCCACAGATTGTGAATTTTATAGGATATAAGCTAAAAGAGCTGACCAATTAATGTGTTCGAAAGTCTCGCATTTAAGCAGATCACACTTAAGTTTTCAGTTAGTTTCTTCAGGTCTCAAATGTTTCAATTTAGTTATTTATTTTTCCCATTTCAATAATTGGTTACATTTTATCTTGAAGAAGTTTTGTATACAATTTCTATGCAACTTTTTCGGTTTTTTGTTATGAAAAAAAGAAACGCAGAATGTCAATTTATTTTTGTTCTTTATATATATGTGTGTTTATATATACAAATGAAGTCAAATTTGTTTAAAAATATATTCGAAATGCATTCGCAGCAGAATTATAAAATATGTATTTTATATAAATATGGAAATCGACCCTGCACATTTTTTATGGTTATTCCATTTCTCATTTGTTTTGTGTTTTTTTTTTTTTTATGAATCATATACAATAAACATAAGATTTATAATATTTAAGTGCTAATGAATGTACTTCACTCAAAATCGTACTATGTAAGATTTATACATATACAATAATATATCTATATTTATTATATATATAGCTTATAGCCTAACATAAACGGGCATTATAAAAAATGATGTTGGTAATAAAAGGTTTACTAATCAACAAATTGGTGTTGCTCGTATTCATTTCACTTTTTAGTAGGTCCAGCATAATTGGCTTCATACTATGTATGAAATGGCCAAATTCTTAAAATTTGTTTTCAACTTTAACTAAGCCTAATTAGATTTATGTAAATATAAATTCAAGTTTTCATATCTTCTTGTTTTCTTGTCAAACGAACTCTGCAGCACAACGTGTGAATGTTTTCTTAACTTTGTTCGATTTTTCGCTAAACTGTGCGAAATATCAGCAAGTTTTTTCAGTTAAATGGTAAAAGGCTGGGAAATGGTACAGATTTTGGGCATTATGTGGAGGATTTAGCGGGGCAGTGAACGAGTTTGGAGCGTACATTATGCAGAGGATAATGACATACTGTTCAGTTGGGATGGCTTGGCTTTAACTGGGCTAAAGATCGTTAAGTCTGTGTCTGCTTCGCATTTTACTTGAAATTTGTTTCAATATTTGAGTTTAAACTATTTTCACTTCTGCACCTTTACTGTGGGTTGCTCGAGCTGTGCTAGCACTAGTTTTAGTTTAACATTTTATATGTAAACATGTATAATATATAGTTTCTTTCTTAGTTTTGTTTTGTTTTTGGACACACAGACATTAGCTATAAATATAATTACAACTTTGTTTGAATTTTCTTGGCGCCTAGATATTATGTAATATTATTAATTAAATGCTACATATTTGTATATATACAATGGGTTTTTATAAGTATGTGTGTGGTAATATAATAGTATGCATATTTCGCAATTCATTCTCATGATTTACTTATTCACTTTTATGTTATTTTTTTTTTTTTAATTTTTTCGAATTTGTTTTTGTACTTTTACGTATATAATATATATAATATTGAGTTTTTGAGTTACGGTTCTAACAATATTGAACTCTTTTTATTTTATTTTGATTGCTGGGCGAGTCTTTGCTTTGAAAACTTGAAAAATCGTGTATATTCTATATACAATAAATATTATTCAAACTGTATTTAGCATTTAACATTTGTTGTTTGTTTGTTTGTTTGTTTCTCGTTGTTGCTTTGATATCTCTGTTTATGCTCAGGTCAATTGTTTCTAAAAGAAATGCAGCTAGCCTAAGAGTTTCCGGTTGACAATGTTTACGAGTGGATTGAATTTGAATGCTGTTCTCAGTTCAGAATTAAATTTAATTGCAGAGATTCTTTATATCAAAAAGGAAATAATTTATAAAATTCAACGTATTCGAATAATAAAATAATGCATTACATTTCATTTCGTAGTTTCTTCTTTTTTTTTTTTTTGCAATTTTGCTTTTCAGTTGTCTCAAATAAAATTTGGCAATTTGTTGCAATATCCGTTAAATTTTATCGTTATTAACTAAAGAAAATCAGCCTTTTCTTGCTATACACATAAATACAAGTACATATACATGTTAATATATAAATGTGTTTGTGTATGTGTGTGTGTGTGTGTTAGATTTCAATATTTAATTAAACGCTAGTCAAATATTAAATCCATTAAATCGATTTTTTTTAGAAATGTTGCTTGAGCCTGCGTCGCTTGCCTCCAACTTGGATTACTCCTGCTGCTGCTTCTGGTGTTGCTGCTGCTGTTACAGCCGCGGCGGCTTGAAGCTCAGCGTTGTGCTGCACTCCAAGCTCAGCTGGTGCTCCATGGTGTCCATTTTGTCATAGTCGTGGCTGCCACAGTCCGCTATGGAGTTGCGCACAGACGGCGGCTGCTCGGCGCCCGGCAGGAGGCCCACCAGCAACAGCGGCTTGTTCAGCGGCACTCCAGCTGCAGCGGCTGCCGTTGCGCCGCCAACTGTTGCTGCTGGCGCTGTGCTGCCGGTCAGCTGTTCGTTGCTGATGCTGTTGCTGCTGTTGCTCTGGCTGCCGCCAATCTGCTTCTCCTTGTGGCGTCGCAGCGACGATCGCAGTGGATACTGCCGCGGCACATTGATGAGCAGGCGGCGTGTGTTGCTGTTGGGATTGCTGATGCTGCTGCTGCTGATGATGTTGATGTTGCTGCTGTTGGGATTGCCGACGATGTTGGGTCGGCGCGTTGCGTACTGTATGGACTCGGCGCTGTTACTCAAACGGATGTTGCCAACTGATTAAATGCGGATTTATATACACAGGTTACGCATTGATCGCATATAGATATATATATGTACACACATCGGATGGCGGAGGGGGAGAGAAAGAAGAAAAACGAAAAATAAAATTTGTTTATGAATTTGAGCAGGGCTTCACATAAAGAATGGGACGTTGTTTTTTTTTTTATCAAATGTATATTATTTTGTTGTTTCATTTATGGTTTTAGTCGGATGGTTGTTGGTACAGCTAACTGTTCTTATGGTTGCTGTTGTTGTTGGGCGTGTTGCTGACAGCCAAAAACAACTCAAAACATACATGAAAAACACAAACATAAAATACAAAATTTCTTCCTTCTGGGTTGCGTTAGTACACATAAAATCATAATAATAATAATAATAGAAACAACAATTACAATATATGTGTGTGGGTGTGTGTGAGTGTGTGTATAGGTGTTGATGTGAGGTGTGTTTACAACAATTTCTAAATGTCATATATACGATTTTAAAAAAATAAATAAATGAAAACATTTAAACAAAACAAAAGCTTAACATTTAATAAATAAATGTAAATATTTATTGTATACAAACAAAATACTAATTGTTTACACATAAAAAGCATTCAGAAAACAAAAAGATATTTTCTATTTGTTGAAAATTTCTGAAAGCGCAAGCGTTCTACATATAAAACAATATCAAATAATTATCAATAATTACAATTAGAATTATAAATAAATATTTCGATAACAAAATTAAATGGTCTTTAATTTTTAATAAATATTTTGTATTCATGCAAATGGATGGATATTCGGCGAATATTCGCAAAATTGTATTTAACCCTAATTCTGATATTTAATCTAACTCATAATGAGCTAACTTTGGATTTTGAGAATTGCATAGGAAGGCTACTTAAACAAATATCGCTTAGAAATTGATTTTAAATGAGCTTAACTCTGCAGAGATATATATTAGGGAGATGAGCTGATTAAAGACTATGATATGTATATATATTTAAGGTATATATTAGATACAACTGACCGAGTCAGCTTATCATATCTGACAGGGCAGACGACAATTTATGTTCGATCGTTAATTAATGCATGATTTACACAAATTACGAGTTAATAAGTTAACATTCATGGCGATGCTTCGATAAATTTTGCATGGGGACAAAGTTCAGAGATCGCTGAAACATTTCCTATACATGTATGTATATAAATTACAATGTTAGTTCTGGTATGACTTGTACAACTCCACGGAGTTTTACAAATGAGCGCAATGAGTTCGTCGGGAGCTTTACTCGATTTATCTACAAGACACAGGACATGCCACTTGCAAACTGTTTCTGATTATTTGGTTAAGCGATGATTGTACAAATGAAAACATATTTTGGAACATAACGAAGATTTTAAAACAAGAAATCCAAAACATTAAAAATGACTGTGACAAAGTTGTTGTTGCTGTTGCCGCTGCTGTTGTTGCTGCTGCTGGCATGACTGTTGCTGTTGCTGTTGATGTTGCTAATGTTATGGTTGCTGTTGCTGTTGTTGCGATAAATGATGCTGCTGCTGCTGCTGCCGCGCTGCGTCTCAAACGACTGATACAGCGACAAAGCGGAAGCATTACTGTCCAAGCGCACGCGCTGGCGCTGGCGCTGACGCAGACGGCGCTGCAGCATGAGCGGCGTGGAGTGGCGCAGCTGACGCAATGTGGGCTGCACATGCTGCTGCAGCTCATGCGCCTGCAGCGTGTGCAGCACACGGCCATCTAGCGAATCGCAGTCGCTGTCCGAGTCAATCTTGTTGCTGGCGCTGTCCACATGAGCAACAACAACACCAACAGCGCCAGCAGCAGTTGCAGCTGCGGCAGCAGCAGCGGCTGACAGATTCTGTGTCGAGTAGTAACACGTATTATTGTTCTTGTTGCTGTTGTTGTTGAATGTTGTTTCGTGTAGATGAAAGCTACGAGCATGCGGCAACATCAGGTTGTTGTTATTGCTGCTGCTGCTGCTGCTGGTGTTGCCCCTGCTGCTGTTGTTGTTGCTGTTGTTAAGCATTTGCTGGGCAGCAGGTGCGTTGTTGGTGAATTGGTGATTGTTGGTTAGTGCTGCTGCCGTTTTATAACTACCCGAATTGGCGTCCAGCAACAGGCGACGCTGTTGCTGCTGCTGCGGCGGTCGCAGCAGACCCTTGGAATGTATATGTTGCTGTTGTTGTTGTTTTTGTTGCTGCTGCTGCTGCTGATGACGGCTGTAGCTGTAGCTGTCCTCGGTGTCCATCATATCGTCCAGCTGCGGCTGCTTCTCCCTTTCCAGTTCCAGTTCCAGTTCGCGTTCGCGCTGCTGCCGGCGATAGAAGTGATAGAGCAGCGCGGCTTGGCTGCGCTCCGCCTCGATGTCGGCGGCACCGCCGACGCCGCCCACCGTCTGGCGCATGTCACGCGTGCTGCCGCCACCCAGGTAGCCAGCGGCAGCGGCGGCGGCGACCGCCAGGCAGCAGTTGCTGCACGTGTCCACCGGCAGCTGCAGCGAGACGACCGCATCCCGTGGCCCCAAGAACCATTCGGAGCGGGTGCGCATGCGTGCGGTTTGGCGTTCATGGACCTAACACATATTTGTGTGTGATTTATATATTTTGGAATATTTTTGCATTGATATTGTTGTATTGTTGTAGTTGTAGTTGTTGTCATGTGTCGTTGTTGTTGTGGTTGTTGTGATGTGTTGTTGTTGTTTTGGGGAAGACGGGGATTCAAAAATTTCGCATTAGAGTTTTGTCATTTAAAGTATTCGATTTTGTTCATAATTAATATAGGATTTTTGTATTTTTATTTTTAGAAGCTGAATTTTAAATTTGTTTTCCTTAATTTGTAGATTTGTAGATTTTCAATAAAAATTAAATAAATTGAAAAAAAAAACAAACAAAAATAAATAAAATACAAAGGAAAATTGTAATAATTAAAAGAGTTGTTAACAATTTTAAATTAGAATTTTGTAATTATTTACACAAGTTTTAAGGCAGCGCAGCAGAGAAAAAAGTGCGATCAAAAATTATAGTTTATAAAATATTAAATAAACATATATTAAGGTTATTCACAAGGATAGCATGAAATTTAAAGTCACATATAATATAATTAAATTTTTTTAGTCACTTGTGAATAACCCTTTTCATTATAAACAAAATAAGATTGAAGCAAACGAATTTGCAGCTGATAATAAATTTATATATAAATAATAATTAGGGAACCGCCAACAAGCGTTTGCTGAGCACACTTTATGAAACATACAAATTATATATATATAGTTTATATTATTTATTGTGAAACAAATGAAAGAAATTTCATATGCAGTTGCGGAGCTCTCCGAGGTGTGTGTGTGCGTGTGTGAGTGTGTGAATGTGTGTGTGTTCGTTAATCTGTGTTAATTCTGTGGCAAACTACAAATTAAAAGACAAAGAAACAAGAGACAAGATACAAGAGACAAGATACGAGCACAGGCAACAAACAAAGAGTTGGTTGGGTTAATTGAGGCAACGACAAGACGACAACAAAACAAAACTACGAATTAACAATAAACAATTAACAATTAACAATGCAAATTCAACAATTGCGTGGCTTAATCAAAACATAACTTAAGCTATTAACTAGATAGCTAAAAAAAACAAATTCGTTTGTGTTGGTGCGGCAGTTTATGTGTTTTTTGTATTTTTAGTTTGGCTTCAACATAAAAAAATAATTATTATAATGATAAGATATACAAACTATGTTTAATTGTCTGAACACATTCGGGAAACAATGATAAGACATAATTTGCTTGAGTTCCTTATAAACTTATAAATAAATATATATGTACAATGCCTAAATTGTTTAGTTTTTTGGTTTGCAAAAAAAGAAGTTTATAGAATATTCATTTTTTTTTTGTTTAATGGAAAAAGAATTAATTTAACAAAATTTCTGTAAAATTTTGTTTTATATTTTATATAAAATTTTATTCGTTTTTGGTTGATTCTTGTTTTCTTCTTCTTCACTTTTAAAGTTTGGCTAAAGAACATATAAAATAATTAAAATTATAAATGATTTTAATGTAGTTACAAAAAATGAACAGAGTACAGTTATTTTTGTTGTTTGCTCTTCATTTTTTGCATAATTAAATGTGTGTTTTTTGTGTAGTTTTTGTACTTTTTTTTCGAGTTTTATTCTGATCTTTTTTGTGCCAGATTTGCTTAAAGATATACTTAAATGTAAAAATAAATTGTTGTTTTATATATATTCATATATATAAATATATTTGTGAGCGTGTATGTGTGTTTGTGTATTTGTGAGTCTGTAAGTGGTAGTTGTTGTTTTTGTTGTTGTTGTTGCAGGCGCAGCTTTAGTAAGATTCATAAGTATATAGTATATAGAGCATAGAATAAAATACAAAACTAGTGACAGAGAGAGAGAGAGAAAAAGGCGCAAACGTTCAAAATTTTGAGAAATTAATTTCAAAACATTTTTGTTTTTGTGTTTGTTGTTTGTTTTAGATTAGTTAAAAAACAATTTCGTAAGTAAGAAAGGTGAGAGGGAGGGGAAGAAGTTCATAGCGTGGGGGCGGCCGTCCAAAGGTTATTTTTTTTTTTTTTATCAAATTAAGAAAATTAAACAACAAAATATATATATAATTGAACAAAATTGGTAATCAATTGGAAAATAAACAAATAAACAGCGTAAATGATAATATTACAGAAAAATAAAATAAAATCAAAATAAAGAAAGTAAAAATAATACAAATCAAGAGTTAAAAATTCATCAAATCAAGAAAAACTTATCGACTATCGATTAATTCGGAATTTCTTTTGCAGTTTGCTTGCTCAAACCTGCAAATAGAATACAGAACTTAAAATTCGAGCAGGATTGCTAATGGCAAAGGGAAGGTTGAGTGGATTAGGATATCGTTTCTTATTATTTTTTTTTTTTTTTTGAGGGGTAAGGATTTGATTGCCCTTTTCAAACGGATATTCTAGAACCAGGCCAGAACTTGTCCCTCACCTGTGGCAAATATGAGAGACTCTTGGTGCTCTCCGCATAGCGATTGACGGCGCGCAGCTCCTCCATGGTCATGCCGCCAGAGTTGGCACCGCTGTTGCCGGCAGTGACGCCGATGCCGCCAGCGCCCCCATTGGAGCCAGCAGCTCCGCCGGAATTCGAGCTGCACGAGCTGCTGTGGCGAATGCCACGATTGCAGCGACTGCAGGTCCGCTGCGGCTGCTTCAGCTTGCCGCCATTGCTGCTGCTGTTGGCCAGGGCTGCACTGGTGGTTGCTGTGGGGGCAGCAATGACTCCAGTGGAGGCTGCATTGCTGCCACGACGGTCGCTGCTGCCGTCGAGGCTTTTGGTGCCGGTGCGCAGGCGTCGCTGATGATGGCCGCTGGGCAAGGGCTTCTTTTTGTTCTGACGGTAGCGACGCTTCACGGTGGTCAGCTCGTCATCCTCGTCGTCCTCCTCATCGTCGTCGTCGTCCTGTGAGTTGCTCGTTGTGCCCATCAGCTGCTGCTGCCGTTGCTTGAATTGTTGCAGGCCCCGCAGCTGCTGCTGCTGCTGCAGATGCGATGGCGTGGCCGGAGCAATGCTGCTCAGCTCCAGATCGGCGGCAAAGTCATGGGCCAGCTCATCATTATCCTCCTCATCGTCCACATAATCGTCGTAATCATAGTCAGTGCCGTTGCCATTCCCGTTGCCAGCGCGCTTGGCCGGCAGCGGCGAGCTGGTCATGGCAAAGATGCCCGGCCCCTCCAGCGACACGGAGAGACGGGCACAGCTCTCGATGAACGAGTGCTCCGGCGACACGCCCAGCGACAGCACGCTGTTCTCCAGCGCCGAACTGGAGCTGGTCAGCAGTGCGGGCGTCGAGCGAGATTCCTCCTGGGCCACTGCATGCAACACGTTTCGATTTTAAGAGTAATTTATAGTTAAGAGGTTTGGTATGAGCAATGAAATAGACATGAAATATGTACAGGGCGTGTGTGAGTCAAAGCAGAGTGCAGAGTTAGAGGAATAGATAGATATAGCGAAGGCAGAGAAGACAGACATAGGGAGAGGAGAGACAGAGAAAGAGAGAGTGGGAAAAGCGAGTCTAGTGTGTGAAGAATTTGTGTTAAGCCCAAAGCATAGAAACCCCAAAAGCCTGTTGCCCAAGCAATGGACTTAAGAACTAAGCACATAGCTAGCCCCAAATACGAATAGTAGCACAGCTTATAGATAGCCAGATAGAGCTAATCAAGATAGTAAAGGTACTCACGTAAGCCCCAACGCTCGCATTGGCACTGCAGCCAAGTCTTTTCGGCCTCCAGAGAATGTTGTACTGTGATAAGCAAAAGGAAAAATTCATTAATCATTGTGTATTTATATTAAATATATAAATCAATAAACATGATTTAAATC